AAAAAAGTTTGTTTGAAATATCATGATTAGTCCTTCATACTTTGTGCTCAAAAACCCAAAAGGAAAAGACATCACTTTTCGTCTAACCCTCTACCATCTAATTTTGCATTAGCTCCGCGAGTCAGGGGAGACAACGTCGTAGGTCTGGAAGATGAGCAGGATAGATTAATGCACCTACTCACGGAGACACTGGAATTGGAAGAGCTCAACGTCATCACAATTATCGGCATGCCCGGCCTAGGGAAAACAACCCTCGCGCGGAAAGTTTACGAAACAGAGGAAATCATTGTGCATTTCCCATCCTCATCTGGGCCTGCGTCTCTAAAGAACTCAACACAAGATCAATCTTTCTCGACATCCTCCAAGAATTCACCAGCAAGGATATGTCGGGCCTCAGCGTCGATGACCTGGCACTGACGATCCACGCCACCCTGGAGACGAGAAGGTTCCTTCTCGTGCTGTTAGACCAGCCGTTTCGAGAGGCCTTAAAAAAGAAAAAAACAAAAAATCATAATTTAACATGTCATTCATAAGGAGGAAATATCGAGAGCTTAATTCCCCTGCCTCGTCCAGAGTCCCCTCTGTTTTGCAATATTTGCTGCTGGATTTTTCTAGCTGAAGCCACAGCCGTTCTACTGAGCCGGTGCAAGACCATTGTCTCAAGGCACGGTACATCTGCAAGCACTTGGGGCAGCGATTCAAGTTCCTCACAGTTTCTAAGCTTTAGGCATTTAAGCTTAGGAAAGTCGTGATCCGAAGCTTCCCAAGAAACTATGTTCGTGTACCCAATGTGCAACACTTCAAGGCTACGAAAACCACCTGTGCCCACCTCCCAGCGCCGACCCACAAACGCGTTGTCTTTCAGCTTGAGCACCTCGAGATTCTCCAGCATTCCTAGGAATGACATCTGCTCCCAACCGAGAAAAGTGGCAGATAGCGTCAAGCTCCTAAGTTTCGGGGGGAACTTATCTGGAGGAGGAAGCCTGAGTGGGGTCATGATATCATGGATGTCGTCACTCAGCAGCTTCAAATTCTCAAGGTCATTTAGTACTTCTAAGTTGTCGAAATTCATAGTGGCAAGTATCCCCCGAATGCCTAATTTCTTGAGGCGATGTGCCCGCACAAACAAGTCGAGGGTGCAATCGTCTGGTGATATGTTGGCCAGCGTCTGAAGATGCTGGCCACCTCGGTTTTCGCCATCTACTGGTTTTTTGTGAAAAGTAATTGACGCGTTTGTCCTCAAGTCTCTCAGCTGGACCATCGACCTCCAAATATCGGCTTTGATTGCCAAAGTACGAGACGATGTATGGATTACGAGAGTCATCATGTTGCTTAGCCTGGAAACGGCTTCCGGAAGGACTTTGAAGTCACTAGAGAGGACCACGTACTTGAGAAGCACGAGTTGAGTCAGCCCGAGTGGAAATATTCTGAACACGAGGGGCTTCACATGTAAAACCCTCACCAACTCAAAGGCCCCCGGGATTTTCGGGATGTCCTCTGTCGGCAAGGCGATTTCTTCTCCGGAGAAAGAAAGGAAAGAACGAGTGGCTGGGGCGTACGGCTCTGTGGAGAAGAATTCCAGGACATTGGAATGAATGCAAATGCGGCGGTGCTGATTGTTTTGAGAAGGTTTGATGAAAGTTCCATCGCCATTTTTTCTCAACACTTGGAAGAGATGCTCTTTCTCCTCGGACTCCGCTTTACAAAAGTCGTGCACTGTGTCATGAATCCGGCATGTCTTGACATCACCGTTGCTTTTAAGTTTATCAACGATGACCAAGTTGCGGTCGATGAGATCCATTAGATTCTCGTGTGCTCTCTCCTCCAAGCTCTGTCCCTGCCTTGGTTGAACGAACCCCTCGGAAATCCATAGCCGGGTCAATGTCCAAGCCGGGATCTCGTAATCCTCCGGGAACACCCCCAAATAAAGAAAGCAGTCCCTCAACTCGTCACACATCCTATCATAACTCAATTCCAAAACACTCCTGAAAACATCNGAGAGAGACATGAAGTTCATTGATCCATCTGCCATGTCTGTATAGTTGTCGAGATTCGCATGCCTCAAAAGAGCTACATTTGTTTTGTAACTCACATCATCAACACTTGTGGCGTTCTTGAACGAGTTCCGTCCATTCAATGGAGATTTCACGGCCTCTGTAAAAACATAAACAAAAAAGGTGTCAGACAAGAAAACAAATACCTGTTTGATTCCTATATTTTTCGCGTTTGTTCATCAAGATAGATTAATATTCACGATGGTGTAGTTTGTAGTTTGAAATTCAAATTCATTCTCTTTCTATTTGGTAATGAAACATCCTATTTTGTAGGACATATAATCCTACTATATAAAATAATTTTTTAATGTTTATCGAAAAATCCCATAACATGCTCAATTTAAAGGAGGTGTTATATTTATTTTGGTAATTGATATTTTGCATCTTTACAATTAATTGTCATGTAATTTGTAAAAAAAAAAATGTCACATTACCAACCTAGTGTACAACTAGGTTGACAACACAAGTAAAAACATCTACTTATGTAATTTTTTTTTTTTATTTTTGTGGATATTTTTACTTGTGTTGTCAACCTAATTGTACACTTAGGTTGAAAATTTAGCATCTTCTAATTTGTAAAAATGCAATTGAGATTTGCCACATCCTACAATCCCCCTTAATATAATTTCAAAACGTGTTGAGCCTAAATGGTTGGCCCGTACGCTTCGGAAGCTTACTTGGCAACATTACATGCTTCGGCTTTTGGTTCGGATAAAAATTAATACAATTATATTTACTTAATCCGATTTTCTCCAAGTTCAAAATACATAGGATTCTTATTCTTATCTTATATGCCGTGTAAATAGGATTTTTTGCTTAATATTATAATATTATAAAATACTTAATAAATAGGATTTTTGTTTAATCCGAACCCCTCCAACTCCAAACTAAATAGGATTCTTATCTTATATGTTAATCATGAATCATAAAAATAATTTACCCGTAATATAATATCATCATCTTGTTCCTGTAAAAATAATTCATATAGATAGGAACATATGTACATTTCAAAATATTTAAGTTAAGAAAAAATTAAATTACATAATTTTTACACTTTAATACACTCAAATTAATTCCATAAAATTTTAGTTGTGTAAAAATATAAAATTTGTCACTTAAATATTTTTACAAGTCTAAAAATACCTAAAATATTATATATTGTTCTTATATTGTCTTACATTTTGTCAAGTTTTTTTTTATAAAATTCATCCTTTTTTTTTGGTACAAAGAAGGAGGCCATAGGCCTAGGTGTTAGACGCGAGTTCGGCGGGGATAGGAAACCCCGATGGTATCATGCTGGAGCCATTCACCCAGCGTTGAAGGAGGAGTCGAAAGCACATGAAGGCCTATCGGATAGGAAGACGCTAAGCTCGCCAAGTGGTCGGCCGCAAAGTTAGCCTCTCTATGTACGTGTCGAAGGCAAACAGACCAATCCTTTTGTATCATTTGGCGAACGGCCATGACTAAGGCTTCATGAGCCCCAAAATCCCTACCATTCCCTTGTATCATCTGTAACATACACTGGCTATCAACTTCCACAACAACTTTGCGAAATCCTTTTGTCCATGCAAGATGCAACATAAATAAAAATTATATCAACATATAAATATGAGGTTTTTACATGAGATATTTATGTTATATTTTATTACAATATAATCTAAAATAGTGGGTCTAATAAAAATATAGAAATTTTTTACTTTTTCAACTTAGCCTTGGCGACAATTTATATTTAAGAAATAAAAAATATGCCGTCCATTCTCAGTGTTCCCCAACCTGTAGGTATTTTGCAATGCAGATAGTTTTTCATCTCAAGTTCTCGATATTTCTTTACTATTATCTAGATTTGAATCCAACATACCTTTAAATTCATTATGATCCCCTCCAACTACAAAATAAAATAAATAGGATTCTTATCTTATATGCCGTGTAAATAGGATTTTTTGCTTACTATTATAATATATTTTTGCTTGATCTTTGCCAAAATCGGTGTGAAACTATCAATATTGAACCACAAAAATTACACGGGTTAAGAATCCTATACCAATAAAAAATATCTTATATAATTCATTCATTGTTTTTATAAATGTTTCTTCTTCTTATTTTAAGATTTTATAACTTTTTTGTTTGTATTTTATTTTTCATATATGATATATCAAATTAACAATCTCTAAACAATTTTTGATTTGAAACCCATATTATATATATAAAATACAAAACAGTAATATATATCCTTATAAATAAAATTTAAATTTATTTATCAAACTAAATTAAATTATATCAAATAAAACTATAAATTATATTATAAAGTAATAAAAATTGGTATGTATTCTTTTAAAAATAATATTTATTTCAAATCTAATTGGTATGTTGTCAATAATAAAAATAAATAATTATTTATGTAAATTCTAAAATTATATATAAAGTTGAAATACGACACTAGCTTGATATATTAGGCATCTAATTAAGTAAAAAAATTAATCTATTTTGCTTATTATAAATAAACATATTCTACACTTATGCATATACATATCATCATATTATTTCTATTTATTTAAGATATATATTTTTATACTTATGTAATAGTAAATAATATCAATATTTTTATATGATATAAGTAAAAAAATTCAACACGGGTTGACATTTTAATTTAATGTACGGGTGTTTAATTATTATGATTAAAAAAATATAATTTGATAATTTAATTAAAACCTAAAGTAATGTTTTATATAAAATTAAATTATTTTAACTTTTAAAAAAATAAAAAATTTAATATTTTTTATAAAAACTTTCTAATTCAACACCCGTGTAATACACGGGTATTGTACTAGTATATATTATAAGCATATCCAATTTTTACATACTCCATTATTATCACTAGTTATTAATATAATCTATATACTAAGAATTTTTAGTTGTATTATATTTTTGTAAGTAATTTTTTACTTTTTAAATATAATATTTTTGTTTTTATTTTTATAATAGAGTACTTAATTAATGTACGAAATATGTGAAAAGGTGAAAATAAATAATTTTAAATAGGGATTTAAAAAAGAAAAAAATAATTTGTATATAGTTAATTGTCGAAGTCTCGTAATTTAAAATAATGTGGAACACAATATTAAAATATCAAAGTTCAGTAGTTATGTCTATTGTGGAATATTTTTAATTTATGTTATAAAATTTTGAATGCAACTTTATGCCTTATATGCATATAAAATGTGATATTATTAATAATTGTATATTCTTTCTAGAGGTGTTATTGGAGTAGAGTTGAATATCTCATGATTAAGCTTGTGTTTGTTTAATAAATGTGTTGGCCTAGATTGACTCATTAAATAAATGAAAAAAAAAAAATATGAGCCTAAGCTCGATTCTTTTAATAAGCAATGATTTGTTGCTTAAATTTTCACGAGTTAATTCGAGATATATTCGCAAATAATTTGTTTCAAGTGACAATTCTTAGTTCCTTCCAAAAAAAATTTCTGATCCGCCCCTTCATATAGTTCTTTTCTTTTTGATGGAAAAGGTGTATATATATTTATTCTTAGTCCATGTAAATACTGTATGTGAATATAAAAAGAAAAAAATTGTATGAGAGAAAGAAAAGAGAAAAAAATAAAGTCAATGCATGTAAAGTTAGATTCTCTTTGAGACAAAATTAACTATCATGTACCCGATAAATAGAGAATGGGCAGATAAAAAGTCATATTACAATGGGTATGAGCCTTTAGTTATGTGATCACTATCACTATCACTATCATCATCACTATCATCACTATCATCATCATCACTATCCCTATCACTATCATCATCACTGCTAACTTAAAAGGGTGAATATTTCTGTAAAATTTTGTGTAGACTAAAATACCCTCTATCAAACAAAATTTGTTAAAGGTTTGTAATGGCAAAAAAATACTTTTTTTTTTTTTTTCCGGAACGATAGAAGTATTATATAAAAGGCGCACAAAAGTGCGGAATTACAAACTGGGAGGCTAGACCGAAGTCCGCCTAGAATCGCTGGCAACGCCAGAAGAAAACCTAACTCAAACAAACGAACAATTACAAACTAGCTCCCCACGGGAGAGAAACAAAACAAAAGCACAATCACAAAACTAAAGGCTCCCCTCAGAGAGAATGCCTAGGTGTTGGCTCCCCACAGGAGAATAAAGATAACACCCAGGTTAACAGTGGCCAACGGCCCAAACCAAAAACACAAAAACACAAATTACAACATAAGACATAGGGGCCAACGGCCCATACCTAAAACACAAGACCTAAAACAAATACCACACATCCAATACAAACAACACATAGAATACAAACAGACAAAATAAAACACTACAACGCCCTTCCCCAGCAAATAAAACGGATCGAAACCAGTAGAGAAGCAATCAATCCAAGTAAGAGCCGAAGTCCTAGGCCCAACTTCCGAAACTGCTGCCGAACGCCTATACAGAAGCTAAACCTAGATCCCGAGATTAACCTGAATCAACCCACCTTCGACCGAGAGGATAATCAACCAGACCCCGTGACCGGGCCCATCCAGTTCCCAACACCAGAGAACCGAGGGTAAAAAGGTTGGCCATTCCACTACTCCAACGAGACGCTGGAGTCTCGTGCCATTCGCCGACGAATACATCTCTCAACATCTAGCCGGTCGCTCAAACTCGAGCTCAAGCCCCAAAAGACAACAACCAGAAACCCAGCTTGGACGCATCTAAAGGAAATCCAAGCTACAACATGAAGAAACAGAGTGACAAACCTACGAATCGAAGCCAATCGGCAGCCCCAAAATGAAGCTGCCGGCCAAAACCCGAGGCTCACCATCCCAGCTGCTCCTTGCCGTCGACAAACAACGGAAAGCCAGAGGATCGCCGCAGCGAAGAATCCGGTAAAGATAGCTGCCCGCCTCACTTTCCCGGCACCTGAAACGGCGAAGACCGGAACCTGATTCGGAGCTACCATCTTCCCGGCGCAGTAGAACCCCTCTGAGCGGCTCATCGCTGGAAAATTGCCGCAATTTCCAGCTGCTTCCCCAGAGGGCCCGACGAGCCCCAGCTATGCGACCGAAGCCAAATTGAAAGAGAATGATGTCGGGGATGGCCGAGCGGTCTTAGGCGACCACTGGCCCAAGCCGCACCTTCGCCGGAGAAGGCTAATCGGCGGTGATTTGAGGGATCGAGGCTAGGTTTTTTTTGGGAGCAGTTTTGGGGAAGAGACGGGGTTGCAAAATTTTATATTCCTAAACGTTTCAACATTCAGATTTCGTTATCCATCGATATATATGCAAATCCTTCAGCCAAACCTCTACAAATTATTTGGCGTCTAATTTTTTATCTTCCTCCAGTTCACTATGAATCGAATAATGTGGTATGCAATTGTTTCTCCTCCTCCCGTTAACGCACGATAGAACTACCCCGAGCGTATTTCATCGCGTTTTTTGGGAACCAATCGGGTCAAATTAGGAATCGAATATTTTTTGGGAGGGTTTTCCGCTCCGACGGCAATACAACCACGAGTGCGAGGATAGAATCGCCGTTATTGGGAAACATACGGTTCAGGTCCACCGAAGGTTATCGGCTTTGCGTGAGATATGGAACAATCAGAATTGGAACCCGAGGTAGAGCAGCCCCGCTGGGGTAAAAGACTTGCTTTATGGGTGCTATTATCTTCAGTTTAGTGCTTAACGAGACTGTAACCACAGGTACTAAAAAATTCTTATTATGCTTTCACACTATATTAAGTTAACAGGTGTGTGTAAAGTCTCGGTTACAGTTAATTCCTGCACCTGAAAGTTTTGACGACGGCAGAGCAATAAGCGAGTCTTTTCTTAGTTCTGACTGGAAAATATTTGTTTTGTGTTATGTTTTCAGTTCATTTTACATTATTTTGGCGGGTCCATTTAGGGATCGGAGTTTTCTTTTTGAAGGTTTTACAGGTCCACAAAGGTCATCGCCTTCATTAGACATGCATCAACGAGCCCGACCTTCTTTCTAACTGACTGTTGTGTTTTTTTGTGAAACTTTCAGGAGGATTTAATTTTAGCAATTGCTGATATGATTATTTTAACATCTTCAGATCTGATTTTTTTATAATTGTTCATTACTTTTTAATTTAAATTAATTGTAATCTGTACGAATTTCATCATACCTTTTTCGTGTGTGAAATTATTCATCTGAAGTTAAGGTGTCCCTTTGAATGGTTTTTCTTCTTGCTTTCTTGCTTTCTGGGTACAATTAGGTGAACTCAGCAGCATCTTAGAGAAAAATGTAAAATTACATTTCGTTTTATTTATAATATTAGGGAATCTATGATTACATTTTTACAAAATATGTTAATTTTAGTGACATGTTGTCGCCACATATAAATAATTGCAAACCATTTCTTGCTTTCCAATCACAAACCTAAAAAATTAATCTAATATTAGTTGCACCAAATGTTTTGTTTGAAAATTGTTCTCTCAGTACTATCTCTATCTCTTTTCTCTATTTTCAAATAGCTCTCATTACTATCTCTTATAATTTTCTCTATTTTCAAGTAGAATAAGTGTATAATGTGGTACCTAATCAAAATGTTTCAATCCTAGACCTTATAACTCCAACAATATACGCCAACCGCACACTTAAACATTTGTAGGAATGTTTTTATCGAACGGTTAATCTCTCGTGAATATAGTGACCAGGGGTAGAGGAAAATTAAGTTTTTTTATGTTTCTGTAAAAGTTTGGGTAGACTAAAATACCCTATCAAACAAACTTTATTAATGATTTGTAATG